CAGTCCAGCCCACAAGCACTTAAAAGTCAGTGGCGGGGACCAGGTTTCCTTTTTTTTTTTTACCTCTTTAGTTGTTTGAGGTTACATACATCCTATTCAGAAAAGGCCCCTCTACTCTATAAATCTGACTTCTGAATAGCTACAAGGACTTAAATAAGCAACTACAAAAGTGTGGTAAGCAGAAAGATTGTGTGTGTGGGGTGTGTGTGTGTGTGTGTGTCCAGTAGAGGGTGACTTGAAGGATGACTGAGATGTGCTAACTAAATGTCCTCTCTTAATAAATGGGATCCTAAATGTTATGAAGAAAGAGGAATCTCATTTATTTTTCCTCTTGTATTTAGAACTCTAAGCCAGAAGGTCAGTGGTACCCTAGGATTATAGTACAAATCCTAACACTTAGGAAGCACGGCAGCGGTGGGAAATGCCAACAGCCCTGAGTTAGGCGGAAGTGTTAAACCCTGGAAGAGCAGTTTTACTGAGAATTATGTTGCCTTCTGCAGGAAGAGAGACTGGATTGCTAATTCTCACAACTCTCAGAGAGGTGATGTATCTACATTTTATGGTAGAATCTTTGACCCGGGTAAGGATGGCAGGGCTACGCCTCAGGGCCATGCTCTTTCTAGCACTCACTCTTTGTACTTTACAGTTACCATTTTAAAACTATGTGTGTATTCATGTGTGCAAGATGACCACACACCATGGCACACTGTTGTGGAGGTCAGAGAACAACCTTGAATGTTAACCTGTGCCTTTAAGCACCAGATAGGAAATTATAGCTTCGTGCTGTAAACGATACGTAGTTACCTTTGTTTGTAAGGACTCATCAAGGAGATGAAGTCACATACAATGTTTGTGCCTGGCAGTGTTGGTAGCAGGTGTGTTGGCATATTCATAATGCCAGCACTTGGGAGGCTGAGGTGAAGGAGGGAGAGTTTGAAGTCACTCTGGGCTATATAACAAGACTCTCTAAATAAACAATAAAACAAACCAAAAACCAGGTCAGACTGAGACCAAACCAACTATCCAGACAGACTAACATAAAAGGAACTGCCAGTTTAAATGGTGCCAAGTGTATTCTCACTCTCCAGGGATTGTTTAACTCTCAGTTCAATATGTTGGAGAGTGTTTGAACTTCATGGCTAAGGTTTCACAGATAGAATGTGTAGGACGTCATTTGTCAAACATAGTTGTGGGGCTGGAGAGATGGCTCAGAGGTTAAGAGCACTGGCTTTTTTCCAAAGGTCCCGAGTTCAATTCCCAGCAACCACATGGTGGTTTATAACCATCTATAATGATATCTAGTGCCCTCTTCTTGCCTGCAGGCACAAATGCTATATAAATAATAAATAAATAAATCTTAAAAAAAATAGTTGGGTGTGGTAGTTCTTGCCTATAATCCCAGTGTTTGGGAGGTAGAGACTAGAGGATCAGGAGTTCAAGGTCATGTAGCCTAGTGATTCAAGGTCAGACTGGGCTAAGTCAGACCCTGTCTCTAGGTTTTCTTTTAAAAGTTTTAGATTATATATACTTATGAGTGTGTGTGTGTGTGTATGTGGAGGACAGAATTCTCTGTGTGTCAGAGAATAGACAGGGTTTGGGCGTTAGTTCTCTGTACCCCCTGAGGATAAACTTTAGGTCATCAGTCTTAGTGCAAGGGTCCCTATCTACCGATTCATCCAAAGATCAAAAATACCAGCTTTTTTTGCTGGGCATGGTAAAGCATGTCTTTAATCCCAGCACAAAAACAAACACGTGGTTTTTCAGTGTAGCGGAAGTTCTATACTGTTATTTTGTTTCAAGTGTGTCAGTGTATAATTAAATCTATTTTAAGTACTTATTACTGAAGACTTTTTTAATATTTTGCAGTAATTTTAAAATTTAGTTTATGAACATCTTTTTGTAATGTCATTTATTATTCTGGAGATGATTAGAAGAAATGAGATCAGGAGATAGAAACATGTTTGAGGAGTATAAAGATTAAATTTTATGAAGGTTTTATTTTGTGGAAAATGTCAAAGCAGTTTACGACTGTGCAGTTAAATTCAGATGACTGGGGGCCAGCATGATGGCTCTGTGGGTAAAAAGCACTTCCCATGCAGGCCTGGCGGCCTAAACTCCATCCTGCAATCCACAGTAGAAAGGGAGAACTGACTTCCCAAAGTTGTGATCTGAGCTCTATATCCATGTGCCTGCCTGACTGGGTGTCCTGTCTCTGTCTGTCTGTCTGTCTCTCACACACACATCAATAACAAAAACCTAAAATGCAAGCCTGAAGAGAAGGCGCGATGGCTAAGAGCACTTGCTGCTTTTGTAAGGGCCATAGTTTGATTCCCAGCACCCACACTGGCAGCTCACCATGGTGGTGCAGGGGATCCATTGTCCTCTTTTAGCCACACACAAACGTTGGGATTCAGAATCAAGACAAGCAGCCGAGGTGCCTATTTAACCAGAGCAGACCTGGCCTTGAGGTTCTAGCATCCTTCAATTCCTTCCTGTTACAGGACATAGCTGGCACAACCCACCCTCTACGCTGGACTCTCCAGCCCAGGGGTGGGGACTCCCCCCTGACAAGGCTTTTTATATAATCCAAACATTTTGGTTCCCTCCTCCCTCTCCTCTGTGCTTCCTCTGCATGGGACTTCACTGACCCCCACCTTTGAGGTTGGTGAACCTTCCTGAGAGCTGTCCCCAATAAATAAACCTGCCTCTATACTTTAGCTTGGCTTGAATTGGCTCATTTCACGAGTGGAGAATACCTATCAACACAAGCACACCAACACCAATCTTTGTATCACTGTGCAGCCTTGGTTTGCCTGGAGTTCCCTATGTAGACCGACTGGCCTTGAACTCAAAGAGATCTGCCAGCCTCTGTCTCTAGCTACAAAACAAATCTTTTTTTTTTTTAAAAATATATTTTTTTTTTTTTTTTTTTTTTTTTTTTTTTTTGCTGTTGTTGGTGTTTTTCTGTATGGTCTTGGCTGTTGGGGAACCTACTTTGTAGACCAGGGTAACCTTGAGTTCAGAGATTCATCTGCCTCTGTCTCCTTTGTAGACCAGGCTGTCCTCAATCTCACAGAAATCAGCTTGCTACAGATAAGTCCTAAGTGGGGGTTGGGGGAGGAGACTATAATAAGTTCATAAGTTCAAATGAATTTCAAAAATTTCTGTTTTTGCCAGGACTCATGGTTGTTTATTCCATTTCTGAGAGCTATAAACTACACTAGGTCCAAATACACAAAACAAGTAAGGACTAAAATTGCCTTCATCATTTATTATTGAGGTGAGGAAAGGGGAGATGAGATATGGGACTTTTTGTAGGTATTGGAGAACTGGGAAGTCTTAGGTAACTTGAATGTGGGAAGAAGGAATCAAAGAAGCTTCTCATTGCATGAGTAGGCAAGTCTTTATGTGCACTGCAGAAGTTAACAGGCTGGGAATGAAGCTTAGTGCAAGTGAGCTAGTATGCCCAAGACCCTGGTTCGATCCTCAGCACTGCGAGTCAACCAAAAACCAAACTAACAAATCAAACCTCAGATAGATGTTTAGAAGAAAATCAGGCTCCACTCTCAGCCGTCCTACATACAAGCGATGGACAGGGGAAGACACAGGATGGTAATGGAGCTGAGAGCCCCAGGGAGACACCTCAGTCCGGAACAGGAGGGTTAGTGTAGCAAGGACCAAGTCAGTGCCCTAGTTAGCTGCTGGGTTTAATGGGCCACTGGGGACATGAGGCATGGGTGGAGGTTAGAGAGTCAGTAAATGGGCATTCTGTCTGTTTCTCTTAAAGGAATGAGATGTTGAAGAGAAAGGTGGAGGGTTAAGGATGAATAAGGTCAGATGCCAGTGTGGTAGTGCCCTGGGATACAGAGGCTGGTAGGCCCCAGGCTAGCCTGGTCTATATAATAAGTTCCAAGGCTACACAGAGAGGCCATGTTCCTCCCTCTTCTCCCCCACCCCCCCAGGACAGACCGAAGGGAGAGTACAGTGTAAGGTTAAAAGATGGTCCATGATGTTAATGAATTTGAGTCTTGGGTTGACCTCTGATTCTAGTGACAACTTTTAGTTTGGCCCTGGACAAGTCACTTTTTCTCAGCCCTGATGAATAATAACAACGTTGAACATCTCATACAAAAGCTCTTGGTTAAGAAATTTGCCAGCTGAACTGTTATAAAAGTACTAGTTTATTGCACACTGTTGACCCTATCTTCTCGTAAAAACAAATGATGGGCTAAAAAGACTCAGTGGCCAAGTAACAGAGTGAAGACACCCCTCGTACCCCTTGCATCTGTGTGAAAAACCAGCATGTTGGTACATGCCTCCCCATGACCCCAGTGCCAGGGGTGAAGCTCCCAGGCAGTGCCTTCTGCCACGGGATAGTTTAAATGTAAATTACTTCGATCATACATTCTTTCTTGATGTTACTTAAATTGGTGGACCTTATGAAGTTAGTAGATATAATTATATTGTGTGCACTTGTTTCTTTTTTCCTCTTCAGCTTCTCTTTTTCCCCTTTATTTTATATGTATGGGCATTTTTTTGCCTGCGTGTGTGCCTGTGTACCATGGAGGCCAGAAGAGGGCATCGGATCCTCTGGGACTGAAGCTACAGAGCGTGTGAGCTGCTGTGTGGGTGCTGAGAATTTAACCTGAGTCCTCTGGAAGAGCAGCCAGTGGTCTTAACAGCTGAGCCATCTCCCCAGCTCCAGTGTGCACTTGTTTCTTAGGTCGAACACTATATACTTACTTTTGAGCCATCTGTTGCTTTCATCACTGTCTAATATGGATAGTAACAGTGCTGACTTTTCATGGTGCTGGCAGAGGTCAAAGGGGCTAAAAACCGCTTGGGATGTTGTAACGCTGAGCCTCTCACTTCTGCACTATTAGTTCTTTGTACACACTTGATAAATGTAAAGCGTGCTGTGTGAATGAGCGCTTCACCGGGGATGGGTGGTTGCTGGAAAAACTGTGGGATCCCAATAAGTTTCCTTAACCACCACGCAGACTCGATGCTGGTCTCTGTGGTGGGGATGGCGCTGTACACCGGCTATGTCTTCATGCCCCAGCACATCATGGCCATACTGCACTACTTTGAGGTTGTGCAGTGACAAAGATGTGACCAAGATCCAGAGTCCCTGGGGAAGATCCACCTTGCCAAGTTGGAATGAAACCTCATCAGATGTAAGATGCTCTACAATGTCAACGTGGCCGACCTTATAGATACAGAGACTGAAATTCATGAGTAGAACAGGAAAATCATCCTGACTCATGTGTTGTGTTCTTTCTTTTTGATTTTAAAAGAGGCTCTTATACAGTAGCTTTTGTCTATTTTAACATTGTAGTCGTTTGTACTTTGATATCAGTATTTTCTTAACCTTTGTGACTGTTTCAATATTATCCAGTGGAAGCTTTTCTTACTGTAACTTTGAGTACATCTTAATTGCCTTCTATTTTTAAAACCCAAGGTCATTAGTTGGGCTTTACTGTTCTTGCTATTGTATGGCATATACATCTGCCTGGATATATTTCTACTCTTGACCAAAGTTTTGTAAGAAACAATACAGAATTTAGGGACGGGAGGGAGGATACTTTGAGAACTACTTACAAAAGATTTATCTGCAAGCTTGAACTCAGGAGTATGGTTTCAGCTCCCTAGACTCTTAACAGCACTTGCTCTAAAACTATTGAAGTGTTTTTTAGTAATGACAAAGTAAAGATCTTGCTAAAATTAATACAAGGAACATTTCACCTTTTAGATATTTAATTCTTATGTGGACTTATTTCCAACCAACTTTGATGATTCTCGTGCTTAGATAGTACTGGAGAGCTTTTCCATAGAAGGCGATATTGATGGTGTATTCGTTTAAGAGTTAATTTGATGATTGTAACAGGTGCTTTGAAATGCATTTGCACATTGTGACAAGATGCAATGAGATGAATTGTTCAGAACCATAGCCAAAAGAAATGTAAACTTGCTTAAAAATCCTTTCACTCTTTGTATTTTTTTAAAAAGGTTTTTATTCCTTAGATGTAAAATGACTACTTAATTTTTTTTTGATGTAAACTCATTAAATCAAAAAAATTTAGCAGTGTATCTTTTCTCTTATGGTTAAATATTGATCAAATAGTTATTTTGTGGTTGATTGCTGGATTGCTGGAGGACTAGGTAAGCAGTCACTATATCTTTGGTTTTTGTTTTGTGTTATTTTTATTTTTGTTTTTCAAGACAGGGTTTCCAGGACAGCCCTGACTGTCCTGGAAGTCTCATTGGAGACCAGGCTGGTCTCAAACTCAGAGACCTTCCTGCCATGCCTGGCTAGAGTGCATTTTCTAACTACCAGAACTTATGTTCAGAGACATGTTAAGATGTAGTTACTGGAGCGGGAGTGATGGTGCATGTCTTTAATCCCAACACTTGGGAGGCAGAGACAAGTGGATCTCTGAGTTTGAAGCAGGCTTGGTTTACAAGGTGAGTTCCAGGACAGCCAGAACTACACAGCTTTGGGGGTGGGGGTGGGGGAGGTATTTCTTGGCTCTGAATTTTAAGGACAAGGTTTTTTGTTTTTTAATCCCAAAGTTTCAAGTTATATATAAACTTTCAGTGTTTGTTGAAAGTAGGTTAATCTCATTACCGTTAGGTTGGGATGGTAGGACTAATATATGACTACTTTGGTTTGAAATAGTTAAAAGTTGGGTGTGATTATATGTGAGTCGTATTCAGACTAAAAACTGAATGAGAACATTTAGCTTAGGATTTGCTCAGTTAATGCCCGCTTTTGCCCATCACAAACTGCTTACAAGTAGATGTCTCATGTCTCCCCAGTGAGTTAAAGATAGAAGGTACCCAGCTTGCCTGTCTGACCATCGTCTTAGAAATCTTTAATTATCCTCATCCATTGCTGAACTCTATTAAATTGCCATTGTGTGGCTAATGACTGGCATAACACTGGCCTCATGCCAGACATATTTAACCTTCATAGGAAATCAAGATGAGTTAGAAGAAGGAAGGGTGCATACACTGAGAAGTGTTCAGGGAGATACATTCTCACCAGTTGGTGCTACAGTCTGGCCTGTCGGTAAATAACAACCGGAGTGGTCGTTTCCACTTTCTTTTCTTTAAGATTTATTAGACTTGCTCCATGCCTGCTTGTCTTTCTGAATATTTCACGGGTTGGGGGAGCTACCTTCAGACTATGTTTTCAGAGATAAATAGGGAAGATGGAGAAACGGCCAGTGTCTCCCATCAGAGCAAAGGGCAGGTTTGCTCAGAGCTTTGGTGGATGAAAGGTACCCCCTTTTGAGCAAAGGCCTTCATTGCATGGCTCTGTTGGAACTGAGGTGCAAAAACCAGAGCAAGAAAAATTTAACACTTTGGTAACGGTTATAACAAAGTCCTCTGTCTTCAACTCCAGGACTTCAAGGCTCCGCCAGCATCAGGCTAACATGTTAGCTTGTAGGCAGATGAAATCCCAGCTGCTCCCCAAGCCTTCATCAGTTTGGGTGATGAGGGTAGGGTGCTGACAGATGGTCACCTTGAGGAGGTAATGGTGCCAGAAGCCAGGTTTGGAGATGAGACAGCTCTCTAAGGTGGAGAGTAAACACTTCTGACCCACTATTAGGGTTAGGGAAAAACAGATGCCCCAGTATCCTATGGGTTAATTAATGATTAGAAGTTGTGTGTGTTAATGAAAAGTAGGAAGGAAACAGGCTGCCTAATGGTAGAGGTGATTCTAATGACTGGAAGGGGAAGATGTAGAGAAAGATAACTCCCTTGACTTCTAAGTCTTTAATGGTGCTAGCTCGCTGGTCTGGCAGAGATATCTTTACCAGGAGGCTTTGGAAACTCCTTGTGACTCTGACATGATGCTATCTTTTGGATGTGTTGCCTAGAGACAAGGTAGGAAGCACCAAACACATGATCAAAAGGAAATGTCAAGAGTACAACTGGTGGGGGCTGGAGAGATGGTGCAGTGGTTAAGAGCTCTGGCTGCTCTTTCAGAGGACCCTGGTTCAATTCCCAGCACCCACATGGTAGCTCACAACTGACTGTAACTCCTGTTCCAGGGGATCTGACACCCTCACACAGACATATATGCAGGATAAAGACCAATGTCCATGAAACAGAAACAAATAAAAAAAAATTACAACTGGGGGTTGGGGATTTAGCTCAGTGGTAGAGCCCTTGAGGCCCTGGGTTCACAGTCCTCAGCTCGGGGGGTGGGGGTGGGAGGGAGACAAAAAATAAAACTGGGTAGGCTCCATCAGCATCTGTTTTACAAGACGTGATGGCTATTGTCCTTCACAATTTCATCTGCTACAAAACTGCCCATTCAAGGATTGCACCCATGCTGGGCCAGGTTCGCTGCTGGGGGGAGGTTTAACACCGATGGTTTCCCTTGACCTGTGGCTTCTGGTGAGCCTCCTTGGTATCAGCCCTACAGAACCAAATGTGGAGATGCTTAGAAATATCTATTCAGGGCTGTTGCTTGGGCGCATCGTTCTGTTGTCCTTGGCAACAGCCACATCATAGATGTGTCAGAAAGGACCCTGTTTGTGGTGCAAAAGGCAGACTGAAAATGTCAGTGAAGAGGTCACACAGTGTGAGCTATCACTTCCGCCTCCTCCCATCTTTCTCTTGGCAAAATGAGCACATCAGACTGTGCCCTCCTCTCCTAGCTATCCCCAGGGCTCACTGTGTTGAAACCTTTTCAGATTATGGCATTATGGTGACCAAATGACCAGCAGAGTCCAACCACACTCTTGAAGCCCTTGCAGTGATGTGTCAAGGCTCTCTGGGTCATTTGCAGCTCGATAATTACATGGTTTTTTGCTTTTGCCACAAAGGGCACTGAACAACATGCTCATTCCAGTTCTCAGGGAAAGTTCATACTCCAAATCAGAAGTCTGGTATTGCTGAACTTTGGAATGACCTCTTTCCTCTTTAAAAACCCTAAATTGGGGTTGTGGCACATGCCTGTAATCCCAGCACTTGGAAGATGAAGGCAGAAGCATCAGTGGTCAAGGTTTTTCTTAGCCGCTTAGTTTGAAGACAGCTTGAGATGTGGACCCATTTCAAATAACAAAACATGGCTGGAGAGATGGCTTGGTGGGCAAAGGCATTTGCTACCAAGCTTTGCAATGAGTTCAATCTCTGGACCACAAATTGTCCTTGGACCTTCACATGGGCACGATGACATCTTATCCCCCTCAAAAATAAAAAGTGTGAAATAAACTAAAAGAAAAGAAAGAAGAGAGATGGCTAAGTGATTAAGAGCACTGGCTGCTCTTCCAGAGGACCCGGGTTCCCAGCACCCAGAAGGCAGCTCACATCTGCAACTTCAAGATCTGACACCCTCACACAGACATAAATGCAGGCAAAACACAAATGCACATAAAATAAAAATAAACTATTTAAAAAAAAAAAAAAAAAGAATGAGATACACAGCTGGACGTGGTGGCCCACACCTATAATCCCAGCACTGAGGCAGAGGCAGGCGGATCTCTGTGAGTTTGAGCCCAGCCAGCCTGGTTTACAAAGCCAGGACAAAGAAACCTGTCTCAAAAAAGCCAAAAGTTAACTAAGTGAATTTCTGACTGTAGCTCTTTCACCTCTTCCTGGTTCACATCAGTTGGGAAAGAAAAGTACTTCAGAGAGAGTTCACCTCAGCTACTTCCTGCTTTAGGGAGGTCAATCCTCAGCTACTTCCCGCTTCCTGATCAGGAGAGCCTATTGCTATTCAAAAAATTGGGATTCCCCCCGACATTCCTGGGCACCATGCGTCTCTGTAAACTACCTGTGTATGTCACAGGAGTCTCACCCTAATTCTGGCTGTCTTCCCGGTATCCCTGCTGGATTTGTGTGACCCCGAGGTCAACAACCACATTCTTGGTTGAGTACAGGGCTGTGAGAGCTAACCATGCAGGCCAGAGTGGGTGGTATAAGTTAAAAAATTTAAGTTAAAAATGTCTTAAGCCGGCCTCAGAAAGACAACTTATTTTCTCTTACTTGTGTTTTCTCAAACTTACATTGTTATATGAGAAGACACAAGTAGGAATAACGTTGCTCAGGGAGACACAGGTTACTTGCTAATGGGAGGGAGTGTATGACCAGGAAGGTGTATGGTCAATATAATGTATACATAGTTGAAAATATTAAAAAAAGAAAAAAGTTAGCTTTCCTACACTTGATTTTTTTTTTTGTATTTAGAAAATTCATCTTATTATTGTATTTTTAAGGCTGGGTCATGACAATTTAATTATCTTCAGCCACAGGCCTCTTTCCTAACCTCACCATTGCTTTTCCCTTTTTCCTTATACTTTTTATTACTTAAGACGATTTTAAATTAAAATATATTTTGATTGTATTCTACCCCACCTCCAAGTCCTTTCAGATGCTCTGCTCATCCCTCCCACTCAACTTGAAGTTCTTTTTCAAAAAAAAAAAAAAAAGGAAAGAAACTAACAAACCGGAACCCAGTACAACAGTCCCCCACCAAGAAAACAAAATAAAGCACCTAAACAGAAAACAAAAGCAAACCCCACCAAACTGTAACCAAATAAAAGCACACACATGGAACCTGGAGTCCATTAAATGTTGCTCACTTTACTCCTAACACGAGGCCTACCCCCGAGGGATTGTTACACCCACTTCACATCATAGGAGAAAACTGATTTTTCCCTCTCACAAAAGGTATAAGTGACAGTTCAGTTGTTAACTTCTACCTTATGGCTAGCTTTTTATTCATTCATTCATTTAAAAAATATATATAACAATAAAATATATAATCATATTAAAACCATAATAATTGAAGTTAGGATAAACCAACAGAAGGAAAAACGCCCAAGAGTAGAGGCCTCCTTTTTCACACAAGCAAGAATCCCATAAGAACACTAAACTGGAAGCCATAACATATATGGTCCCCCCCTTCCAGACAGGGTTTCTCTGTGTAGTCTTGGTGCTCCTGGACTCACTTTGTAGACCAGGCTGGCCTTGAACTCACAGAGCTCTACCTGCCTCTGCCTCCCTGAGTGCTGGGATTACAGGTGTGCTCCATGGTGCCCAGCAAGGTACTGGATTTGTCAGGCG